TACAGTAACTGCTGCTGTTTGCCAGCGTCAGCTGGAATGTGCCAGGAATGTGCCCGAGTATGAATGGGCTCCAGTGGGATGGATGGCCTTTTCCTTGCAAATATTTCTTCAGCTCTTATGTTGCCCCTCAGCAATAATGGCTGGCTTTTTATAGAACACTGTCTTATTCGTCGGCAATCTTTAGGTATTTTATTGATTTAACATTTCTTCAGAGACTCAGTGAAATATATGACCCATGGACAATGTGATTGAAAGCTGATGCTGATGTCAGGGGTATGTTGCCTGGATCAAGCTCTGCTGTCCCTGGATTTCATTAGAAGTTGTTTTAAATACAGTTTCTACTCTGTTTATGAACTGCATTTCTTTTTCTACACTTGGAAAGGAAGCTGTTTCACATTGCCTTTGGTGTATATCTCAAACCCACTTGCTGAACTGAGTCATTTCACGGTAAAGTAAGCTAAACATAATAGAAGTATGCCCTGATTGGGACACTGTGGTTTAGTATATCCAAGCAATAGAGTGAGGAACAGGTTGGGAGAACTTTCAGAATCCATTTTATTTATTACTTAAAAGTAATGAAGCAAAATGTGGTTGTTTGAATGTGCTCTCTGAATGTTAATCTGCCCAGCTGTTGAGCAGCAAAAAGAAGTAACAGGCTCTAAAAGAATTGTGTGCAGTTCATCTAAACCTGAGGCTAGTCAGCTGGCTACTGAATCAGAAAGTAATGAGCAGGCAGGGCTGGAGTTGAGAGTGTGATGGAAGCAGGATCACCGCACGAAGGTTTCAGAAATAGAAGTGCAGATCTGAGCAGCCAAGTTTGTGTCGAGATACTTACATAAGCAGGCTAACTTTGAAAGCTTCTGAGCACACAGCAGCTACCACTGACCATTTTATGCCAGTGTCTAAATGTAGTGCTAACTTCAGGTTTCTATTTCTGAAAACCCTGGCCCCAGTTTTCAGGGATTTATAAATTGTGCTGCAAAGACAAAATGTATAGCAAGATAGAAATAATGGTATTCGCTGTCCTTTGACAGGTGCTTTGTAATACCGACATGTCAGGCTGAGCATCCTTCAGCTCCTGTTCCTGTACATCTGTATATATCAGAAGAAAATGTGAGTGAAGGAGCTCCTTCTTTCCCCTTCCCCTTCCTCACACCCTTGTTTTCTCTCTCCAGGCATCCCTACAGGTATTAGGGCTGCAGCCACCACTGCTTAGCCAGTGTTATTGCACAGTCCCCATTCCACATGCTCTCCTTTTCCTTTGGAGAGGTAGAGATGGAGCAAGAAGACATTTGATAAGCTTAAAGTTGCTAGCAGAGCACATAGCACAGCGGCACCCTTCCATGCCAGGCAGGGGAGAGCTCAGTGGTGGCAGTGAATGAGTGAGCTGGGAGACTGGAGTCAGCACTCACTGGATTTGGTGGCTGAGGCAGTAGTTGTTGCTACTGGAAGTGAACACATGATTAGCAAGATGTGGAACAAGCTCCAGAGGGATTTCCAAAACTGATGGGGCAGTTTCATGCTAGAGCCAGCAACAGTGTAACACAAACCGAAAGCAGCTGGCCAGCTGGCCTTTCCAAATTTTGGCATGAGCTGTAAATCACAAGGCACCCCTCTTACATAAGTAGACCTACTATAACACATACTGCTTATATCTGCGGAGCTCTAAATAGCTAGGACTAGAATAACTCCTGTGTCATTCCAGTTTTCTGCTGACACATGATAAAGTTACACTGGGATGAAAATGCCATGGTGAATTAGATTGGAGAACAAATGTTTATGACATTTGCTCATTTGCTTAAAGCCTAGTGGTAGCTGGTTCTACAGAAAAGCAGAGTATAAGTAAAGTTCTCCTCATCCTGCTCTCTACAGCAACCAACTTTTGTAGCCAGTGAGGACTGCTTGTATTGAGTAGCTGGAGAGGATGGAACTATATTTCCCAAAATAAAGTCTGATGAAAAATAATCTGTGGTCTCTACACATCTCTCCAGTGCAGGCAGCAAAGCTAAGATCCGGGAAAGGGGGGTGTGGATATTTCAAACTCCTCAAAGTGGCTCAGAATTTGTCCAAGGACTTCTACTGCTACATGCACCCTCCCCTCTTTCTGACAAGCCTGGCATCTTAAAACTTGTTTCTGTTGTTCTAATCTTTAAAGCAGGAAGCAATAAGAGCAATAAAATTTCCTCAACAGAGTCTTTGTTTTATCAAGTTATCGGATAATGGTGACATTCAACGTTCTTCCCATACTGTATTTCTTGAAGATTTGTCTAATGATGTCCCCCCTTTATAAATTCTGTTCCGATTCTAGTTTACCGGTTCACCACATAATCAGTTTTAGCTTTTCTGAATCATCCTCATCATATTATTATTATATAGGGTATTCTCTTGGAAATGTCAAGTATGTTATCAAATATTGTACTCATTTCAGTTTCCTCTGCAACAGCCCTGAACTTTATTAAGAAACTACATGCTGTGTGTAGGTCATTCCAGTAACCAGCTCCATCCTAAAGGACAATGGGATCACTCAGATCAGAGGCTTGGGAATCTCTATGTTGTTAAAGGGACTCCTCTTAAGCTCCTCTTAGCTCTTTTTTTCTGTGATTCTTGAACCAGCCATTTATGGCAGCAGTATCTTTGCAATCCAGAATCGTATTTTTGGTAAGGAATCTGCATCACCTAACTATAGCTGTCAGAAGTTAGGCATCAAATACACGTTAGGCATCAAATAGGCCCCCTTTAAAGTTAATGGAGGAAGAAAGAGGCACCTCCAGAAGGCAATTTATCCCACGTCTGTGATACCTCTCTTAGGAGGAGTGGAATTTCCCTGAATAGAGTGCTTCTCCCAGCTCATAGAGAAAAAATGGCTTAGACTAGACATTCAGGTTCTAGACAGCTGAATTTTGGCAAAATTAAGCCTGCCTGAGGGAAGTTCAGTTCTATATCTGAGAAGTTTACATGGGTTCCAAAAGTGGTAAGACAAATTCATGAAAGAAAAATGTGATGAGGATTAGGAAATGAAAAGACTCATCAATGGTTCAGGAAGCTGCGAACTGCCGTTGACTGGAATGGTACTTTGGGAAAGCATCTCTACATGTTTATTCTGTTCTAGTTCTCTTTGCTAAGCATGGACCTTGTCAGAGATAGGATTCTGGGCTGCAAGGACCTCTCGTCAGTCCTGCTGTGGCTGCTCTTACAATTCCTAAATTCAACCTCCATTGAATATTTCTTACTATTCATTCATGTATAGTCACAAGAAATAGATGATGTATGTGTATGGAAGATTAGTACAAGGACTGTGTATCATCTAAGTTTCCTTTCTGCTTCAAATAGTCCATAGATCATGTGCCAGCCCTCTGCATGAAGTTGGCATTGAGTCCGCAGTGAGCTGGTTTCCTGAATGGATGAGAAGGCAGAAGGCAAGAAAAGATAGTTTTCAAAGCTTGTGAGTGAAGAATGAAAGTGTAAAGAAAGATCTGGGTTATAGACCTAGACAGACACAAATGAGTTTGTGTCCTAAGGATCACGTCAAGGTTATAAGCCCCTGCTTCTGCACAAGAATCTAGCTTGTCCAGCTCAAACACTGGCAGTTCAAACTCTCTCTTAATTACCTGACTTATGCCTTTGCCTTTATCTGAAGGGCTAATCAAAAAGGAATGAAAGAGTAGTTTAGTCTCTAAGTCCCCTTGCTCCTTGCTCCCATTATCATAAAGGTAAAGGTGCCAGTTAGAGCTGCTCAGACATTTTTATAATTACGCTTTAAAATTTAATACTGAAGCACATCTATTACATTTTGGCACCTTTGGTTGCTCTATCAAGTGCTATTTGTGATCTCCACAATGAAATGAATACTGTGGCATGCTGAAATACTTCTAATAATTTTTCCTTGGGGCTTTCTCCTCTTGAGCTGCCTTTTTGTGTAAAAAAAAAATTGCTTTCCTGTGGTGCAATATTTCATGAAGTTCTGGCAGTGTCACCCAGTAGTTCAGACGTTAGTCCTGAGTTATCTGCGGGAGGAGTCCAAGGTGTATGTTATGCATGGCTGGAATTCCTCTGAATCTGCCTGCACCTCTGCCATTTGTCCCAGGGCAGTGAGGGGTGAAGGTAGCTCATTTTGTGTCGATGGCAGGGCACCTAAAGCTTTTTGTTCATTCAGCACCTGATCTTCCTCCTTTGAGAGTTTACTCATCTATTGGTGGGATTTCATGTTAAGGCTTGTCTCACAGCTTCCAATTTATTCTAATTCATCTTTAAGGAGCCCAGGAAAAAATTTTGGCCCCACTTGGATTTGGCAGGAAGAATCTCAAAGATAGTCCAAAGGGAGCCACATACATGTCTTCTCTTGTATCTCTGACCTGCAGATCATCTTGTCCTTTCCCCTCTTCCTCTCCCTGCCTCCTTTTTAAATGCACTCACGTTTTCTTGCAGGTATTTCTTCCCCTCAGCAATCCCTCCAACCACTCTATGCACTTTGAACTCTCTCCCGATGAATGGCCACTTGGTGGTGTTTTGTACTGGAGGAGGTTGCTTGCTTTCCAGTATATCCTGGCAGGTGGAGTATCCTTCACTGGAGAGAGGTGCTGCTGTCCTTGCACACAGAGCTCAGTCATTTCCTTACGAACAGAGCAGTGATTTTAGTGCTCCTTCATTGCCTGCCTACCGAGACTGACAGTTTGGGATATTGTGTATGTTCAGAGAGATCTAGGAAGGACATAACAAGTTCCCTGTGCCTCAGAGGTTACTCCTTTTACAATAGAGCGATTCTGCTAGATAGGCATATACATTTTATATGAAGAAAATAAATCAATATGGATGTGGTTTGAGAATATAATATTGTAGAACAGATTTAATTTTATTGCAACATTACTAACATTGGTAGCAAATATTTGCAAAATGGAAGAGAAGTGTATTTCTTCTCTTTCTCTTATTATTTTCTTTTTATTGTTTTCTCTTCTATCTGATCCTGCTGCTAAAGACTGAGACCTTTGTGGAAATCATAGAGACATCTCAGCTCTCATCGCATTCATAGGTAAGACCCAGCATCTGGCAAGACTGGATTTTAATTGGTGCTTTATGTAATGCTTGATAAACATTACCTTATGCTGCTCCATGATATTGTTTTCACATTCAAATCCTTGAAAAAATGTGCCTGAAAGCTGATTGGACGAAAACCTGGATCTCAGTTTTAAAGGATCTGTGCATCTTTTAATAATGCCCTGCTGAAAGCATTGATGATGCTTATATTTCTGAAAATAAAAATTGAGCAAAGCTAGCATGCCTATTCAAATCAAAACAAATTGTGAATGTTTCTTGTTTTATGTAGCACAGGTACCCATGTGCATATGATACTTTTTGGTCCCTATGTGTCTGCTCCATTCCACTTAAGCAGTCAAATGGAATTGAAAAGAAAATCCTCTGGAGCAAATACCAGAAATTCACAATGCTCTTAAGGCTTGGCCTACCAAACAGTGAAAAGTCGTAGCATGGAATATACTTACCAGAAAGTATCCAGACACTAAGGGCACTTCTGCAAATGAGGCTGCAGTGGGCAAGTCCGGAGCAATTCCTCTGTTTGAAAGAAGCTTTTGTTAAACCAAATACTGTTCTGCTTACCTGATGCATCTCTGCAGTTTTAGAAGAGTATCCCTATTTATCCTAACCTCTTGGAAGGAATTTCAGCTCGATTCAGGAAAAGCTATAAAAAGAAGATATAAAAGATAAGACAGGAAGAGGAATAGACAACCATTTATGTCTTTTAAGACTTGTTTTGTGGGTTTAAGTGCAATTCTCTACACAGAGATGAATTTCATTCTCCAGTAGTTCTAGGTATCCTGTTAAAATAGACTATATGTTACACTGAAGGGATAATTTTCTCATGATTTCTATGATGTTCCTTAACATGTTTCACACATACAACATCTGTAAAATGCCTTTTCCGGGAACAGACCTGGATCTTTGTTGCTTTCTTGCTTGCTTCCTTCATTCAGCAAAAAATAGGAATAAAAAATAAAAAATATTTGGCTAGTCAAAACACTTTTTGAATTTAAGATGAATTCAGCAAATGATGTTGAGTGAAACAAAAAATGAAAACAAAGAGAAATGGAAATGTTGATGAGAATAACGACATTTTCCAAACATGAATATTTCAGCCTTAGAGATTTAAGTCAGTAAGGAGATTAGGAACCACTTGCAACAATAAAAAGAAGGGTGATGCATTCCTTTTCCCCAATAATAGCCCATATTCTGGTGGTTCTTGCCTGGGATGTAGATGATGAAGGTTTAAATCCAAGCCGAACATGAATTACAGCAGTAGTTCTCACATCTTGGAACAGCCTAGACACTGATCTCTAGTATGCTGTGTGCTGACTTCCTCCTGGTGCAACTTTTCTACTGCACAGTATTACGAAAGCATTCATTGGGACAGAGAAGAGATGCCAGATAGCTTCCTTTACAAGTGAGACCTGAAATCATCCAGAGTCATTCTTAGTGTCCCTCTCTTGTCAAACAAATATTTGAAGATGTTCCAAGTTAAAAATACCTTTCAAACGGAAACAAAAATTTGGTGTTGAATCAAACTATTTGTTCCCTCTTCTTGGTTTGGTGGCTGAACTAGAAAAAATTGATATGTTTGCTTTTTGTTTATGACTCAAGACTGGGAAGAGCTTCAGAAGAATGTGCTTCTAATAATGTACATATTAATTATAATGTGCACTAATAAATGCCAGAGTAGGAAGGTTAAACAGTAGTTGAAATAGAGCCTATTATGCAGACGTAACTATTTCACCCACAAACTCCTACCAAAGGTAAAACTACTGTAAAATCTTATAGACTTCTAATTAAGCAGACATAGCTCGGTCACTTTAATGGACTGTGGGGATAACAGGATTGGCCAGTAGAAATGTTTCATGAATCATGTGTCAGTTTTCCAGGAACGTGGATGTAGTAAACAAGCCAAGAGGTGGGCCTATTAAAACAATTAAGATAAACCAAGTACTGAATAGCAATTTGCCCTTAACTACAGGTTCAGTGAGAATTCTGCCACTAAAACAACAGACTGGAGAGAGAACTATTAAATATCTAAATGACTAGTCATCCTCTGTTGCAGCTGTAGCTCCTTTTGTGGCTATGGCAATAATAAGATACGATTCAGTGCTTGTAAAATGGATTTGATGATGATAATTATTGTAATCCAGCTGTGCTATTTCCATTGTTAAACTTCTGTTACTCAGTAACCTGTTTACAGGTTCTCCACAAGAAGTATTACTTTTCATACAGAACCTTAACTTTGCTTGGTGCACAATCAATACCTTTGATGTTGTGAATTTAAAAGTTTGCTAAAGTAGGAAAAATTGCATAGCTTTTGCATTTCTGTTGTAGGGGAATGTATCCTGGAAGATCCCGAAAATGATGTTTTTTAATATAGGCTAATTTTTCCCCTTCCCAGCCTACACCCTCTCCTGCAAGTCTATTATGTTTAAGATTAAATTTCTGCTAGCATTTTGGGTCGCATATCCCAGTTATCTTGTGGTAAGTGTCTCCTACATGCAAGATGTCCTCTACTTTTGAACAGTTGTATCAGTCATCTTATTAGATGAAGATTACTACATAGCAGCTTCCCCTTTCCTGCCTGTCACCCTCCAGAAACAACATTAAGGGCTTCTGCTTGAATTGCTACCATTTCCATTGGGTTGTTAAGCACATTTTAAATGCAGGCTGACATGTTTTTCTACATTTTCTTCTCTTCTTTTCCCCTTCCCCACAAATCCCTTTGTGGTATGTTTGTGGAGTTGTTCTTCTGCTTCATTAGAGCATTGTTCTTTTTAGGTTAATTTATCCAATTCCCAGGCAAATGAGGACGTACTTGTAAATCATTTAGTTTCTCACTAATCTCTTCCACTGTTGGCTCCCTTTTTCGGCTGTCTCCCTATTTACTACCTCTAGTGAAATATATTCACTGTTTCCATCACTTGTCACAAGTAAAGTCATGGTTGGTGTGGGTCCATTGACCTGAATAATCAACATGATTTTTTTTATTAGAAATCAAAATATTTGCTGCTGCTGTAGAAAGCAGCATCTTAAATCCTACGCAAGGATGTTCACTAAAGGAAATGCAATTAACAGAAGACGTAAAGCTTGCCCTGTTACTTTGTGCCAAATCTTATTCGTTAGTGTTTCTTTTAACAATAGCTGTAGAATTTTAAGAGGTTCTTTAGAAGAGCAGAAATCCTGATAGCACCATCCTTATGCTTTGATACCTCTCTGGCAAAGATCCCACTGCGATGGGGAAAATAATAATTTCAGCATTTGTCTGAGAGATGCAAGTGTCCAGCTACAGTCAAATCCACAGGTAAAGAATTCTATGCTGCTATCCTCTGCTAGAAAACACTGGTATCACATCCAACTTGTAAGCTGCTTACAGGTAGATTGGCAGGCCAAGGAGGGCATCTGCTTTCACACAGAAAACTAGCAAGAAAATAATTTTATTCTGAAATTAAGAAGTGCGTTCACGGCAATAGGTGGTACTCAGCAGTACTCAGGTACTCAGGTGGTACTGGCCTTTTCAGATCAGCACCAAATAGTGCCATAAAAGGGTAGGAAAGAGTCAGGCTGAATATTTCCTACTAAAGGGAATGGCTTTCATTGCCCATGGCCATTAAATGATCTATGTTTGTTTGTTTTTTGCAGAGGTAGAAGAGGCCTCGCCTTTTATGTCCCCTGGCCCCTTCAGCTGCATAAGAGGAGTTGTCTTTTGTGTTTTATAACCACACATCAGCTTTTCACAGTGGCGTTGGTTGCATTTCAGAAATGACTGAAATTCATTTCTATGTAAGCATATATATGCTTTGCGATCTTTAGATCATCAGTCTCAGCCACTATTATTATCTTATTCTGAAAAGAGAGAGACCTTGCCAATAGACTCCTGCTTGGTGTCACTGCTCTTGACTTTTTCAATAAGTTTTGTGCAATAGTCACTGAAAAAAACCTTTGATGCCATGGCTATTCTAGTTGCCACTCGGTGACTCATCTTCCTCTGACTGTAATGAGATTTAAGGGGCATTTAATGTTCTCTTCCATGTAAGAGGCAGTTGCGTAGCCAAGAGGAGGATAAGCATCTTAGGACTACTATAGATAGAGATGTTAGGCTGATGGGAAGGATTAAAGTGTGAACATGTTTTGGTTTTGAGATAGCAAATAATAAATACTGCCTCTTTAAGAACAAAAGTTCCCCATGGGGAAGATCAAGCCACAGTGTTTCTTCATATGGCAGCAGAGGCAAGAATATCAGATGAAAGGAGTCAAAATGAAAGAAAATTGTTAAAGCTTTTTGTGTAAAGTATGCACCAATTAAATTGCTGCCCCTTGCTGATCAGTCTAATCCTTTTAATGAGGCTACATAAGCAAAAAGGAAGCAGTAATGATGGTGATGACTCAGAGATTTCTCTCTGAAAGAAAACAAGCAGAAGCTGGTTATCTAAACAGTATAACACAGTAACTCCGCAGGTGTCCTTCTCACCTGTGAAATGGTTGCAGGGTGGCAAGCTAACTGCACTCTGAGACTCTCAGTGTCCCTGGGTACAAGTGCTAGAATATAAATCAGTATATTGTGTGAGTGTGAGATTGATGTGTAGCAGGCACCCTTCAGCTTGCAGTATGTATTTTTCTTAAGCCTGGACTCGTGTTGGTCCCTTTCGTTAAAGAATGATATGGTGGCACAAAAGCTCAGAGGTTGGGACCAGCATGGAGAGACACTGGGGTGCAGTGTTCTGCTCTGCCTAGTGGGATTTAACTCGCTTTTCTTAATGAAAGTGTCCTGATCTGCGGTGGGGGAAAGAGAAGGTATATTTTTCACACCCTCTCAGTCTGGGTTGTTTAGAATAATTACAGGCTTGGGGTGTGAAGATGTGCTTTGTATTCACTGACTCCCCAGTGTGGGTCCTGGGACACTGTTCCTTCGTCAATGTTTATTTCACTGTTTACTGTGAAATGTGTAGTCACTTCTATACGACCTGGGAAAGAGATCTCCCTATG